CCCCCCCCCCACCCTCCTCTAAACTAAGCAGAATACAAAATGTCAATAAAGTATCTGAGATCTTTTCTAGTTGCGATGACCTCTAGACAAAACTCAGCTCCAAAACCAATGGTCTCTAAAGAATAGACTTTTGTATAGAAGTTCTATTGTTTTTTTCTTTCCCAATGATCTACATAGTTACTAACCATTTGAGTGAAATATGATTCTTCCTTTCCTCGCTGATAAGAATACCATTCATAATCTATATTTCTTCCATGCCTGAACTGCTGACTGCGATTGAGAAGGGAGAGAGCAGAATACCTTAATGAGCACAGGGGGCAGCCATTAACAATGTTTCTATCTCATCTTCTAACTTGTCCAAAGTAAGAGTTTTACCTAGGTCACTTCTCAGCAATTCCTTTGCCAACCTGGAAGTTCACTTGAACCATCACCTGACTCCAACCCCTACTAATTCCTTTCATGATACTGGTACCAAAGATTGTCTAATCGTTTCAGTTTGGCGCTCTCTCCCTTCCACTCCGCATGTAGCTTTAACGACCTCCTTCCATGTGCCCATTTCCTAGGACATGAACTTCCATAGCTACTTGGCCAAGAGATTTATTCACCAACAACAAAGATTTATTAGTGAGGACATCCATATCTAACAACCTTTTAAGAGTATGCCAAGCCTACATTTGGCAGCTCCTATACTTCTCAAAGTATTCCAGAGATGATGACATTGAATTGCTCCAGTCTTCTAGCCACCTTAGAAGTAATGGAAAAGGGACAATTAACAGATTGGAAGGTTCGATGAAGTGCTTTTAATCCTTTATCCATCTTGCCTAAGATTGGATCCCAAATACTAGGCTCTTTATATTTGGCTCCAAGGGGTAGGCCAAGATGCTTGGTAGGAAGGAAGTCAGTCTACACCCTAAAAGGACAGCCAAATCACTTATGTCCTATTAATCATTTACTTGGGCAACCTTGTTTCATGGTGGACAAGCATATTGCTAACCCCAGTTTGTTGGCCTATCTGCAAGTAAAGTGATGTATTTATTACAACTAGCTGCTGATGGGTTTTAAAAAGGGTAAAACATTTCTATATACTACCATTTTTTTTTTGTTTGTTTGCAGAAGAAATAGTTTTTTTGGTGCTAGCTTATAAGGTACTGTTTGATTCAAATGCTAATTCTGCCATCTTTGTTGCTTGTTTCTTGGAGAAAATAATATTTTACTTTTGGAAAAGCAAATAAATCAAATGCTGCTTTTGTTTTTTAATCTGTTGTTCTTGGACATTAAAATTTGATCTATTGACTACTTTTGCAGCCTCCTAAAGTTAAAGCTTTTATTGACAAAGTAATACAGAGTCCATTGCAAGATATAGCAATACCTCTTTCAGGTTTTCGCTGGGAGTACAATAAGGTAATGTTTTTTGCAGCTTGTTGCAGTAAGATGTGGCAAAATTCTTTTGCTTACTTTTTTTTTTAACTTCAGGGTAATTTTCACCATTGGAGGCCACTGTTTCTTCATTTTGATACATACTTCAAGGAATATTTGTCCTCTAGGAATGACCTTACCTTGTCTGATAGAATTTTAGAAGATGATAGCCCATTTCCAAAACATGCGGTTCTTCAAATATTGCGAGTTATGCAGACAATTTTAGAGAATTGCCATAACAAAAGTTCTTTTGATGGTATTGAGGTATGTTTTATGAGTCATAAAGTGTTCATTTTTTGTTTCTGCAATCATTTATTGCCTGATCTTCATATTTTTGTATTTTTCCATCACTATATTGTCTGATAGATTTTTGTATTTCTTCTTTTCAGCACTTCAAGCTCCTCCTTGCTTCTACAGATCCAGAGATTGTCGTAGCTGCTTTAGAAACTCTTTCTGCACTGGTGAAAATAAGCCCCTCTAAGCTCCATGGGAGTGGAAAATTGATTGGATGTGGCTCCGTGAATAGCTATCTCCTTTCTCTTGCTCAAGGATGGGGGAGTAAAGAGGAGGGCTTGGGTTTATATTCATGTGTTGTGGCAAATGATAGGACACAGGAGGAAGGCCTGTGCTTATTTCCATCTGATATAGAAAATGATTGTGACAAATCTCAGTGCCGGATTGGTTCTACCCTTTATTTTGAATTTCATGGGCACAATGGGCAGAGCAGAGAAGAGAGTAGTGGCAATTTGAGTTCTAGTTTGAGAGTTATACACCTGCCAGATCTACATTTGCGGAAGGAGGATGATCTGGTACTGATGAAGCATTGCATTGAAGAGTACAGTGTGCCTTCAGAGGTTCGGTTCTCTTTGTTGACAAGAATCAGATATGCTCATGCCTTTCGTTCTCCCAGAATATGCAGACTCTATAGCAGGATTTGCTTGCTTGCATTCATTGTCCTTGTTCAGTCAAGTGATGCTCAGGATGAGTTGACCTCCTTTTTCGCTAATGAGCCGGAGTATACAAATGAGTTAATCAGGATCGTTCGGTCGGAAGAAGCTATTCCTGGAACCATTAGAACTCTTGCCATGCTTGCTTTAGGAGCACAGTTAGCTGCATATTCTGCTTCTCATGATCGGGCTCGGATTTTAAGTGGATCGAGCATCAGTTTTGCTGTAGGGAACAGAATGATTCTCCTAAATGTGCTCCAGAGGGCTGTTTTGTCATTGAAGAACTCAAATGATCCATCATCTATTGCATTTGTTGAGGCACTTCTACAGTTCTATTTGCTCCACATTGTGTCATCCTCATCATCAGGGAGTACTATTAGAGGATCAGGAATGGTTCCCACATTCCTGCCACTTTTGGAGGATTCTGATCCGAGTCATATGCATCTTGTGTATTTGGCCGTAAAAGCTCTACAGAAGCTTATGGATTACAGTAGTTCAGCTGTCTCACTGCTTAGGGAACTGGGGGGAGTTGAGCTTTTGGCACAGAGGCTAGAGATAGAAGTAAATCGAATTATTGGATTGCCTGCGGGAAATGATAATGCTATGGTTATAGGTGAATGCTCTAGGTATATTGATGATCAATTATTCTCCCAGAAGAGATTGATCAAGGTTCTCTTGAAGGCTCTTGGCTCTGCCACTTATACCCCTGCAAACTCCAACAGACCTCAAAATTCCCATGACAATTCTTTACCTGCCACTTTGTCACGGATATACAGGAATGCAGATAAATTTGGAGGTGATATTTACTATTCAGCTGTCACCGTCATGAGTGAAATTATCCACAAAGATCCTACTTGTTTGCCCTCGCTTCTTGAAGTTGGCCTCCCAGAAGCATTTTTATCTTCAGTGGTAGCTGGAATTCTTCCTTCTTCTAAGGCTCTTACATGTGTTCCGAATGGCCTTGGTGCCATTTGTCTTAATGCCAAAGGCTTGGAAGCAGTGAAAGAGACTTCAGCCTTGAGATTTCTGGTTGACATACTTACCAGCAAGAAATATGTTGTAGCTATGAATGAAGCTATTGTTCCATTGGCAAATGCAGTGGAAGAACTTTTACGTCATGTTTCATCACTAAGAGGCGCCGGTGTTGATATAATTATCGAAATTACTGATAAACTTTCATCTCTTGGGGACCATAAGTCCTCAAGTTCATCAGGGAAAGTTAATGGGAGTACTGCAATGGAAATGGATTCTGAAGAGAAAGAAAATGCAGAACAGTGCTGTATTGTTGGTGCAGTGGATCCTGTAACGGAGGGAGTAAGTGATGAGCAATTCGTCCAACTGTGCATTTTTCATTTGATGGTTCTGCTTCATAGAACAATGGAGAACTCTGAAACTTGTAGGTTGTTTGTGGAGAAGTCAGGTATTGAAGCTTTATTGAAGCTTCTCTTACGGCCTAGTATTGCACAGTCATCTGAGGGGATGTCTATTGCTTTGCACAGCACTATCGTTTTCAAGGGCTTTACGCAACATCATTCCGCTTCTCTGGCTCGTGCTTTCTGTTCATCTCTCCGAGATCAGTTGAAGAAAGCTTTAGGTGGCCTAAGTGCAGCTTCAGGTTCATTTTTGCTGGATCCCAGAGTGACACAAGATACTGGAATCTTTTCACCACTTTTCCTTGTTGAATTCCTACTTTTTCTTGCTGCTTCGAGGGACAATCGTTGGGTAACTGCTTTGCTATCAGAGTTTGGAAATGGCAGCAAGGACGTTCTGGAGGATATTGGACAAGTTCACCATGAAATTTTGTGGCAGATGGCTCTCCTTGAAGATGCTAAACTTGAAACTGACGAAAATAAGGTTGGTTTTGCAACTGAGACACAGGAGTCTGAGTTAAATACAAATGAGACTGAAGAACAAAGGCCCAATTCCTTAAGGCAGTTTCTTGATCCCTTGTTCAGAAGAAGGACATCAGGATGGAATATTGAATCCCAGTTTTTTGACCTTATAAACCTGTACCGTGATCTTGGACGTGCTGCTACTGGTTTCCAACTGAGACCTGCTACAGATGGTTCTTCAAATCTTCGTTTTGGAGCGAGTCATTCTGGTTCCTCTGATGGTGCTTCTGGCTCTGCCACTAGAAAAGAACATGACAAACAGAGATCATATTATACCTCATGCTGTGATATGGTCAGGTCACTCTCCCTTCACATCACTCATTTGTTTCAAGAGTTGGGAAAGGCGATGTTGCTTCCTTCTCGTCGACGGGAGGAGACTGTAAATATCTCTGTCGCTTCAAAATCAGTGGCTTCAACCTGTGCTTGCATTGCATTGGATCACATGAATTTTGGGGGCCACGTAAATCCCTCTGAGGCATCCATATCAACAAAGTGTCGCTACTTTGGGAAAGTAATCGAGTTCATTGATGGAATTATACTGGACAGGCCTGATTCATGTAATCCTGTTCTATTAAACTGTTTATATGCCCGTGGGGTTGTTCAATCAGTCTTAACAACATTTGAGGCCACCAGTCAATTGCTCTTTGCAGTTAACAGGGCCCCTTCATCACCAATGGAGACTGATGATGGGAATGTAAAACATGATGAAAAAGAAGATGTGGATCATGTGTGGATTTATGGTCCTTTGGCTAGTTATGGTAAGCTTATGGACCACTTGGTAACATCTTCTCTCATTTTGTCAACATCCACAAAACATCTGCTTGTACAACCTTTGACAAGTGGGGATAGTCCTTTCCCACGAGATGCTGAGACTTTTGTGAAGGTGCTTCAGTCCATGGTGCTGAAGTCTGTACTTCCTGTCTGGGCTCACCCTCAGTTTACTGATTGCAGTTACGATTTTATTACCACAGTGATTTCCATTATTAGGCATGTATACTCTGGGGTCGAGGTGAAAAACATCAACAATATTGGCAATTCTCGAATTACAGGCCCACCTCCAAATGAATCAGCTATTTCTACAATAGTGGAGATGGGTTTTCCAAGGGCTAGGGCTGAAGAAGCTTTACGACAAGTTGGATCAAATAGTGTGGAGTTGGCAATGGAGTGGTTGTTATCCCATCCAGAAGAAACCCAAGAGGATGATGAACTTGCCCGTGCCCTTGCCATGTCGCTTGGAAAGTCTGAGTCTGAGACAAAGGAGGATGCTGCAAATGATGGTAACCAGCAGCTTGAACAAGATATAGTTCAACTTCCTCCTGTTGAGGAGTTGTTGTCGACATGCATGAAGCTCTTGCAGATGAAGGAACCTCTAGCATTCCCAGTTCGGGACTTCCTCGTGTTGGTTTGCACCCAAAATGATGGCCAATACAGATCCAATGTGATATCTTTTATTCTTGAACAAGTAAAGGATTGCACCTCTGTTTCTGATGGCAGAAACAGTGCTCTATTGTCTTCT